TGCAGGCCCAGGGGTGTGTGTCGGGGGGGTGGGGGTGGGGCGGGTGAGAGTGCAGGCATCTTGTCCAGGGAGCCCAGAGGAGGGAAGTTCCAAGGCATGGGGTGCTGAAGACATGGAGTTAAAACTCAGAGCACTCAATACCTCCTCAGTAAAAACAGGAAATGACAAATAACCATGCAAAGAGGCCCTGTCCCATTTCTAGACTATTCCCAGCTGAGAATGCTGCAGAACCCCCGTCCCACCCAAAAGTGATGAAAACCACAAAGACATGGACATGCAAAAACCTACAGGCAGAGTCTGGACTGAGGAAAAACACCCCTACAAATAGGAGCAGAGTGAAAAAAGAAAAACAGTGAGTCGGAGAGAAATAGGAGCACTTTTTGTGGCCTCACATTTTTGCAAGAGTGCAAATGTTAATAGTTTCTGCAACGTCTTGCTACTTTGCCCCACAAGCCGTAAGAAATTCTGTTGAGAGCCAGATCTGGTTCCCACCCCTGACCCAAAGCATCTGGTTTGTGATAAAGACTGGAATATCCCGTGTTCTCGAAAGTATGTGGTGGGTGTGGTGACGGCAGGAGCCACAGGCAGAGCAGTTGAACTAATCAGAGTGCACACAAGGTGGGAGGACCGGGTCCATCCCCAGTGTGTGCGTCTGCAGAGGCTAGGGCAGTGGTGCCCTTCACCTAGGCCTGCCCCCCGTCATTCCTGGGTTCCTGGATTTCATCCGTGGTCTCTGGATTGCAACCCCAGGCTGTGCAGTATGTGACTGGGCATTTAGGCCTGGGACGATTGTAGCCCATAGTTTATAAACACTTGGTAGAACTATAGCCGGAGTCAGTTCCGGCATGTGGCTGTACACATTTACAGTCATACATGAACGTGACATACAGCTAGTAGGTGCATGTATGTGTGTGTGTGTGTGTGTGTGTCTTGAAGGTTTCGGGGAGATGGTTAAAATCTTCACCCTCCATTTCACTGTTCCAAAAGTAAATACTATCATACTTTCCTGGGTACTCAGCTGTACAAATACGATTTGCCGTTCAGCATGACAAAATCCTGTTTATCATATTTGTATGTATATATGTCAATAACCTCGCACATGAAAAAGGTATTAACTTTTATGAGCTACTGGCTAACATCCTGTTTTTGCATGGCTTTCTACTTTCCAACATGCTTTTGTATATGCTATGTTTTTGGACCCAAGTCTCGGTCCTGCAGCCAATTGTCACTATCTCCATTTTTATGCCGAGGAAACAAACTGAAAGGGGACGTTAAACTTCTGGGATCCAATGTAGCTGTAAGGACAGTGGACGCGTTCCATTCCTTCCCGAGCGAGCGGGGACCCAAGAGGACGCCTGTGGTTTATGCAGAAGCAGAGCGCTGGGGCCAGGGCAAGGCAGATGGGAAGGAAGCGGGTGGGATGTAGAGAGAGTGAGCTCACAGTTGGAAGAGCTGAGCTCCGAGCCGGTGGGATCACTAGGTATGATGGCCGCGCAGAGAAGCAGCCGGCCGGCCGGGCGTGGGGCAGGAAACGCAATGAAGGTGACGGGTCAGGCAAGATGTGGGCTTGGCAGCCTTCCCGATGCGATCCGAGCTCCGAGCGGAGGCCTGTGTGTGTGCTCACGAGGGAGTGTGCAGAGAGGGCGCGGGGGAAGCCAAGCTGGGGCCCACGCGAGGCGCGGGAGGGGGCGCCTTTCTAAGGAGCCAAGAGCAGAGGTCCTGGGAGAACCAGGAACTGAGCGGAGGAAGGAGCGAGGCCACGTCATGAGGGGAAACTGATGCTCAAATGGCCGATTCCTGAGACTTCGGGAGCACCTTTTGTTCACTACTTCACTGAAATCTTATATTCTGACTCTAAAAACTGCTTATTCATGTAGAATAACCGCATGAATTAAGGAATCAGAACCCCTCATTCTCTAACCAACTGGATGGCTCAGAGGCACTCTGCCAGTGAATGAATGTTGCCTGAAGTCGCTTACACCTGTGCACCCGGTCCTCCGCCGCCCCCTCCCCCCCCCACCCCAATGGGCACTGGCAGCCCCCAGGGAAGAGCCTGGGTCTTCGTTTGCTGTTGAGGGTATGCCTGCCCAGCAGGGCGGTGCCTGGCAGCCAGAGGCCTTCATTGCATCATGAGGAGGCACGGATGCCCCTCCTCCTCACCACGAGCTTGTTTTTCCGCCCTGGGACTTTCTGACTCCACAGTTTCCCATTGTTTGGAAAGATACTTTGAGGCTTAGCAGGATTGGCAAATATTTTTCCATGGGGCTTGGCATTTCACTTGTGTACAAGTTGTGAAATCAATTTGCTGCAGATAAAGATGGACAGATGGAAAGAGCTGGTGTTTTCCTACACATGTGCAATATGCATGATGAGGTCATTGCTTATCTGCTACTCTTGCAGCCTGTCGCACCAGCGTTTCTGAAGGCTGTCTTTTGTTTGGGAGCATGAGCTGAGCCTGGGCAGAAGCATTGCCCCCTGACTGAAAGGAGAATGGGGTGGGGTAGAGTGGGGTGGGGTGCAGAGGGGGATAATTATCAGTGTTGAGTTTTCATACACTTCTCCTAAACAGCAAATCTCTCTGGAGAATTTAGATTTTCATTTCACTCAAGCAAGGTACACTTGCACTAATTCCATCTGTTTTCTAATGTAGTAGTGGAGGAAGGTGAAATTAATTGAGGTGGGGAGGGGGAAGGAAATGAATATATTTTAATCACAGGTAGGAAACTATCTTGGCAACTAAAGGGCATGTATCCAGCATGAAGCAGGTAGCAAAATTTTAGTACCATGACTTACATATATGGGGAATATTTATTTATACCCAGTCAGGCCTTGGGACTTACTCTTCTGGGTCCCTACTCATTGGGGAGTGGGGGGAAATTAAAAAAATGTCCACAGTCATTTAAAGGGAAGTTTGATCCAATAAGTGTAACAATTCCCTTTCAGGAGCCTTTCATTTCTTGGATGAACACACCCAGGTTTATCTCTGCTGGACCAGGCTGTCCTGCCAGTCAAGGCCTCTGTGCCCCGTCGGTGTGGGGCAGCCCCAGCTCCTCTGCTACGTGGCTATCACAGCCCCTCCTCTTCCAGAAGAGACTATTGACAGTCCTCTTGACCACTCAGTTCCTTTCCTTCCACTGTACTTGTCACCACATCTCCCGCCCCTGGAGTCCTCTCCGACAGAGACTCTGTTCTGGGTGGGCAAGCCTGGCACCTGGTCAGGTGAAGTGACCCGTACAGGAATGGAGGACTGTCCTTTAAGAGAGAAACTGGACTTGCAAGATTATTTTCTTGCTGCATAATCCTAATTTGCATGCCATAAACTATTTTTTTCCTGCATTCATTCTCTAAAAAATTTAACCACCTGTAGGAGACAGTTAAATTCAAGGGGCTAGGGAAAAATTCCTGAATGAAAAAAAATATTACCCCAATTTAAATACACATACTTACGTTATTTTTCTAAATGCCCTTCTCTCTCTCTCTCTTCCTCTCCTGCTCTTCTTTCCTGGAGACCTCCAGCATCCCAGAGTTCCCCATATTCTGTCCCCAAAGTTCTCTTTTTCTACTCCACTGTATTGGGTTTACTGTTTCATTTTTCTTGACCTCTGCCTGATTTTACATGAGCGCATTCTCTAATAGTTTTCTTTAAAAAAGAACTCTTGGATGTAAATTTTATTAAATCCCTGTTTATCTGCAGGTGTCCTCATTTCACTTTGGCATTTGATCAATAATTTTACTGAGAACAAAAATTCTATGTTGAAAATAATTTCCTTATCATATTGAAGCTACTGCTATGTCTAGTTTGCAGTGCTGTTGTCACAGGATAGGAGAGGGACTCTCTCCCCTGTTTGCTTGTGGAAGTGGGGTTCTTGGGGTACCACTGGAATAAGCATTTACAGATGCCCCATGGGAGGATGAGATATGGTGAAAGCTTTATTTCCATGGAATTACACTCGGGGTTTTCCTTAGTCCAGTCATAGAAGAGTAGCGGGGGTTTCAGTAGAACTAAAATCAGAGCCAGGGCCCAGAGTTGCCTTTCCATGTTGGATACGGGTCCAGTCCAGCATCAGGCTGACTTAGCTTGTGTCCTGCTGCAGTCCATCAGTCCACTGCATGTGGGGTCCACATGGCCGTACGTCATAGGGACCAAGGCAAGGAAGCAAAGAGCAAGCCACAGGCGAAGAGCAACAAGAGAACCAAGAGCAACAAGAGAGCAAATTCCTTTGTTTAGGGGATTATGTGTTCCCAAATGTTGGCATGCTTGCAGTGACCACGCCCATTCTGGCCAATGATTTCTGTTCCCAGGTGTAGCTGAGAAACACGTACCTTCCCTATGTCATCGCAGATTTACTGGGCATACATCCATCTTCCTTTTGCTGAACCCCCTCCCCCCAGTGATCTGCAAGGAATGAGCCTGTGTTCCCTGGGGAGTGTGAGATTGCAGCTTCCTGGTGAAGCTGCCCAAATGACATGCCTATAATGTCTGGCCTTCCCTTTACTCCTTTCCTTTCTATAATAATAAAAGCATGATATGCAAATTGACCAAACGAGTGAACAGCAGAACAACCGTCCGGACGACCTCCCGGATGACCACGCAATGACACACACAGGTGCCAGGCCAGCCAAGGCGGGTGCGATGTGATTCGTCAGGGAGCCCCTCCATCGCCCCACGATCGCCCCACAGAAGGAGGCCCAGGCTACAAAACCAGTGGCCTGCAGCAGATGGGCGTGGCCTCGCTTCGTGCAGCGATCAATAGCAGAGCCCTGGCCAGGTGGGCAGTGCCTCCCTCTGTGCAGCGATCTATCTGGGGGCCCCACAATCAATGACCCCACAGAGAGTCCCAGGCCACTGGCCAGTGATGCTGTGATGGGTGTGTGAGACCAGCCAGTGATTGCCTTGCAGAGGGAGGCCCAGGCAAACCAAGCGATCACACCCCTGTCCCCCACAGAGGGAGGCAACCGGTGGCAGGGGAGCAAGGGGCAGCACCTTACAGTTGGCAAGCAGTGGCAGTGGTGGGGGCGGGGCCAGCTGCTGGCAGCCGAGGGAAGGAAAGCCCCAATAGGCCTTGATCATTGGCTACCCAAGGGGTCCTGGATTGTGAGAGGGCACAGGCCGGCTGAGGGACATCCCCCTGCCTGTGCACGAATTTCATGCACTGATCCTCTAGTTATTAATAACTAGCTAGTTACAATGATATCACTATCACTGGTAAGTCATAGGTCAGATGTCTTTATGTTCCCCATCCTATTTTCTTTATTATTATATGTTATGGCATATATATACCATATATATACTGTGTTTGCATGTCTAAATAAAATCTTTTAACCATCATTTTGGTGATGGCTGAGGATGATCAGGAGAAATGTATGCATGGTTATATACTGTTTTGTTTTTTTATCAGAAAGTTTTCTCTTTTTTTGTGTTGTTTTATGTTATACTAGTAGCCCGGTGCACGAAATTCATGCACATTAAAAGGGAATTAATTGCCCTAACTGGTTTGGCTCAGTGGATAGAGTATCAGCCTGCGGACTCAAGGGTCCCGGGTTCGAGTCGGGTCAAGGGCATGTACCTTGGTTGTGGGCACATCCCCAGTGGGGAGTGTGCAGGAGGCAGCTGATGGATGTTTC